ATCTAGCAAATGAATTTTTATACATATAGTTTTCAAATATGAAACTTTCGGAGTCAACAGGTCAACGTTCATAAAGCATGTTCGCTCGCAGAAGGAACGTTTATGTGAAACCCTCCATCAAAATCACTTTTTTAGTGTTCAGATTTTTCATCAAGATTTTATCGTATTTGTAGCGTTAAATTTGTTTGTCTAAACACTTATGATCAGATCTATTGATTTAGGCTAAGGAAGAGCAGGTAACTGAAAACTACAAACTATCGATAAAATCTGATCAGATCTATTGATTTAGGTTAAGGAAGAGCAGGTAAACTGAAAACAGCAGACTATCGATAAAATCTGATCAGATCTATTGATTTAGGTTAAGGAAGAGCAGTATAACTGCTTAAATTATTAGAGTCGAAATGATGTCCAGTAAAAGTGGGCAGCTTGTCAGAAGAAAACTGGTGTTGGTTAATACTGCGTGGCTTTTCTAAATGGGAGAACTGATAATTCTGAAGTCCTCATCGTCTCATGATATACCAGTTTCATTAAATTAAATATTTTATTTTACAGTTACAATAAGCACGTTTAAAACTAGTGGTCTTCGAGCCCCTGCTTATCTTAACTAACAAACTCAACCATTGAGCTGATGTGATGTATTGTTCAAGTCAGCAATTATTTGAAGACCTTCAATTTCAAAATTATTTAGTAGTTTTTGGGTATGAAAGGATATAGTAAATATTTATAAAGATATGTATCACATCCAATTACCTAAAGTGGTTCTAATATATATTATTAAAATTCTTGTGTTGTTGTTTTTTTTACTCTCTCGATGGATTAATATTACTATGATTTAAAACCCACCACAATGTTGCTTTAATAATTGAGAGAATTTTACAGTAGTGTTATGTTGTTCTATTAACAAGTTCAAGAAACATGAAAAGTCACAGGGACAAAGCTCCTGTCCTAAGTTAGTTAAAGCCACTGAGACAAAGCTCCTGTCCTGAATTAAGTAAAGCTACGGGAACAAAACTCCTGTCCTGAGTTAAGTAAAGCCACGGAGACAAAGTTCCTGTCCTAAGTTAATTAAAGCTACGGGAACAAAGTCCTGTCCTGAGTTAAGTAAAGCTACGGGGACAAAACTCCTGTCCTGAGCTAAGTAAAGCCACGGGGACAAAACTCCTGTTCTGAGTTAAATAAAGCCACGGGGACAAAGCTCTTGTCCTGAATTAACTGAAGCCACAGGGACAAAGTTCTTCTCATGAGTCTTGCTATAAATATTATCCACTATGTGTGTGTGTTAGTTAGCATCCATCACCCAGACTTTGCTTGGTCGATTACAGTATTTTTTTTTGTATGGTAAGTGTAAACCGTGCGACGGTATACAAGCGCTGTTTTGTTTTAAGGTATGACCGAAAATAGGGATAAAAAAAAGACCACGAAATAGAACACATTTTCACTTTTTTAAATTGACTTTTGGCTTTGAATTTAAAGACACCAGTTATAATCTTCCACAAAGCAGGATTTCACTGAAGCCATTATGGATTTAATGACAAAAGAAAAAAAAATGAAAGGAAACATCACCTAACATTGTCTTTTATATACTTTTTACTTCATTAACATTTTGGCCCGGCATGGTCAGGTGGTTAGGGGCGCTCGAATCGCAATCTGAGGGTCGCGGGTTCGAATCCCAGTCCCACCAAACATGCTCGCCCTTTCAGCCGTGGGGGCGTTATAATGTGACGGTCAATCCCATTATTCGTTAAAGAGCAGTTCAAGAGTTGGCGGTGGGTGGTGATGACTAACCGCCTTCCCTCTAGTCTTACACAGCTAAATTAAGGACGGCTAGCGCAGATAGCCCTCGTGTAGCTTCGCGCGAAATTCAAAAACAAAAAAAAACCTCCTTAACGGGTACCCTCAACTAGAAGTTATAATAAAATAAATACTTTATGATCATAATAATTGTAATTGTGTATTTTAATACGTGGTTTACATACAAGATAGACGTAGTTAAATGTCACGAATTTTACAATGTAAAAAACCGTTACATTATTTTTATTCCAGTAAAAATTGTTTTAGATTAATACAGAAACGTACATAGCGTGTCGTTTACGATATATTTTGATTACAACGTTTCGTGACTGCGTTACGTATAGTAAGAAAACAGAAATAATGTAAAAAAAAAAGGAATTGTATAATTAATGAACTTCGTTCGTGAGAAAGTATACTAGAATCTGAATGATACCACAGAGTGTCCTGAAGTTAACGAAATTACTTATTTATGGTAAAGCATTTGTTACTATGATTTCGGGACAGGAACTTACTGTCACGCCACATTCAGGGAAGGCCGGTCTCTTAACCTTACGTCAGCAGCATTTCGTATTATTGTAATTGACCAAAGTTTGTTTGTTTTTTAATTCGCGCAAAGCTACACGATAGCCGTCCCTAATTTAGCAGTGTAAGACTAGAGGGAAGGCGGTTAGTCATCACCACCCACCGCCAACTCTTGGGCTGCTCTTTTAAAACGAATAATGGGATTGACCGTCACATTATAACGCCCCCACGGCTGAAAGGGCGAGCATGTTTGGTGGGACTGGGATTCGAACCCGCGACCCTCAGATTGCGAGTCGAGCGCCCTAACCACCTGGCCATTGGCTAAAGAGAGATTACGTCATTCATTGGTTTTCTTCAGAACAAGCTAAATCTTTCGCGAGCTTTAAGTGATATAACTTTTCTTTCAACAAAACTGTTTAGCTTTTGATTCATGCAAACTTTGAATTCAGAAATTATTCAAGATTGTTGACTGATATGTTCAACAGATTGTTGACTGATATGCTCAACCTGAACGTCACACGTCTAGATAGTTGAGCGCAATAGTACACACAATGGACTATACCGCTGGGAATCGAACCTCGGATTATTAGTGTTATAAATCTATACATTTACCGCTGACCCGCTGGGGAATCAAATGTTGAGTAAAATGAAAATTGGTAAACTTCATTCCCCCTTTGTTTCCAGTCTGGCATGGCCAGGTGGTTAGGGCGCTCGACTCGCAATCTGAGGGTCGCGGGTTCGAATCCCCGTCACACCAAACATGCTCGCCCTTTCAGCCGTGGGGGGCGTTTTGAAGTTACGGTCAATCCCACTATTCGTTGGTAAAAGAGTAGCCCAAGAGTTGGCGGTGGGTGGTGATGACTAACCGCCTTCCCTCTAGTCTTACACTGCTAAATTAGGGACGGCTAGCGCAGATAGCCCTCGTGTAGCTTTGCGCGAAATTCAAAACAAATAAAAATAAACAATTTTTAGTTTTGTTGTTGTTGGTTTTCTGCTTCTGGAATTACCTACGTGTTAAAAACTTCTGTCGAGTTGTATATATTACAAATAATAATTATGTGAAATAGGACCTTAAGAAACAAGTTTATAGCTAAAACGCATAAAAGTTTTGAAACTTAATAACCTCTTCTCT